GTAAACAGGGACAAATACGACGAGCTTTGGTATGAATTTTTGCCATTGTCTCCGAGAGCTGAGCGAGTAAATCTGCTGCTACGTCTCGTCGCGAGACACCCGGTATGCGCGATTTAGGACGGGCAAATTACGCGGTTAATTAACCGGTCTCGCGTCCTACTGGCGTTCTTTATTTTATTTTTTTCTTTCCTCGTCTAGCCGATTTATCTTTCTCGCGAAAGTTTGGGAAAAGAAGCGCAAGCTGAGAGGGGCAGGAATTACGAGCACTTTTATCCCCTGGCCGTTAGCCACTTTATTAATTTAAAGGGTATAATAGTCGTCCGGGCGAAGACACAAAGGCTAACGTGGCGGCTGCATCTCGGTCGGAAATGCAGCGGCCGTCTCGTTCCTTCGTCTCTCTTCTCCTTCTCCTCGCTTCCGTTTCGATCGCAGCGTAGGAGAGAAAGCTCGCGGCGCAAAGAGGTGGTTAATAAATTAGCGTGCTGGCTCTCTCGAGGTTGTACTTTTCGTACGCGTCACCGCGAACGAAGCGTTACACGGTCGATCGAGTGCGCGCGTTATCGCCGCGTATCATGGAAATCGCTTCTCCGTTCGCCATATGCTCGCTCGGTGTACCGTTGTCGAGTCTCCTTAGAGAGAGCCGGTTTTCATTTCCTGCCGCCGCGCGAAAGAATGGCAAACCTACGTCGATAGCCTCTCCCCGCCTCTTTTTGCATACTCTCGATGCCCGCTGCGGTCTGTCGTTGCTTCCTTTTTTCCGCGCATTCTCGCGCATTCTCCGTGCCGCGCACGCGCACCTCGCCGCGACACCGCCATTGCAGTCGCTAGTTGCGGCGAATTAACGCGCGTGGCGCGACGTTGTTAACGCCGCCGCGGAGAATCGGTTACGAGCGCGACCCGAGCGATTTTCAGAGCGGAAACTCGTCGCAAGCGATGGTTGGGCTCGAAAGAAGACCACTGTCCGCGTCGTTTAACCGCGTCGGCTATTCGCGCGAGGAATCATCGCGGCGAACAAAGAAACCCCGCGACGACGTCTCTGGTTGACCACGGGCATTGTTCGTCGATAAGGATATCGCGCTGTGGAAACGATGACTGGTCGTTGTCGCGTCTCTAATTGGGTTAACGCGCTTCGCCGCGAGGTCCATCTTGGAAAGAATGCCAATTATCGCCGTGGTCGTCGCGATGGGCTCCGTCGTTTTCTTCGTTCGAGGGCGAGGAGACACGGGGGAGTAGTCGCGGGAACGAAGGAGAACACGAGGCTGGCACGATCGGGAGAAGATAACGGGGGCTAAGTAGAACGACGGAGGGTAACCGTGAGAGATTATTCGGGTCGCGTGGTTAATCGAATTTATTATTCCACGGCGACAGCGCGGTCCTCGTGGGTTGCTCGATTAGCGAAAAACGGAGGAACGACCGATAGCGGAAGATAGATTTCAATTATTCGCCGGCGTGCCACGCGCTCTAATAGCGAGCTGCTTCCGAAGAACCGCGCGGGCTCCTAAAATCGATTTCCATTAATTCGAGGAAAGCCATTATATCCCGGTTTTGGGATATATACCCGAGTCTCTCTCCGTTCTGTCACTCGGCTTCTGCTTCGGCTTCGTCGCCAGTGTCTTCCTCGCGATATTACCCCGTCTATCTCGTGATCGCTGCTGCCTATTAAGTCGCGGCAAGAGGAGCAACGCCGTGAGTGGCATCGTTACCAACGATTCGTACGCGTTACGGTTTCGTCGTTTCGAGTGAGTAACTCCGCTAGTAACTGGCTAGAACCGTTCGACTAATTACATCTCTTCCCGTTCTTTATCGCGATCCTAGACATCATCCACCGCTTTCCTCGGCTTTCGACCGCGATCGAACGCGTCCACGGTCGTTCCTCGTCGTTGAGCCTACCGCCATTCGAATTTCCATTTTATAACCTTCCTTTAAAAATTCGTCGTTTTACTTTATCGGTAACTTTCGAGAGATATCCCATTCTTTCCAAGTTTGATGTTTAAATCGCAACTGAGCGGAAATCGAAAGTGTATACGAAGTGAGCACTAATTACAGGTGTCCTTCCCAGGAAAAGAAAATGGTAATTACATACCACGGATATCGAAACACACCAGGAACGCCAAACTTTCCTTATTTTTCGACACATCCGCGACAAAACGAACCTATAACTACCTAAGTTAACAATCCTTAAAGTTACTCCAGTTCGATCCTTTGCTATTTACCACCGCTTATATACGGGTAAATCTAGCATTTTTCATCTCACGATGACTCACACCATGCCGCGGGTACGAGCGCAAACTCGCGAAGATTTTTTGCTCGGATCTAACGCGGTCGGGTAAAAGTCGTTCGCGATGCGGTTGCCGATATCGTCGAAATCGGCGAGGTACAAGACCAAGAAAATTTTCTCCCCTATTTGCACGGGTTGATACGGAATCGCGGAATGCAGTCGGGTGAATGAGCGTGTACGAAGAGAATCGGACACCGAGAACCCGAGGAGGCGGCTCTCGCATCGATAAGCGATTTCCGGCGAACGCGCGAATCGATCGCGGGGAATCGAGACGGATCGGCGAGCTTACGCATACCTCTCGTGAATTAGCTTTTCTTCGATGGTTCTCCGGTATATACCGAGAAATCGATAAATATCCGCGCGATTTCGAAGTTGACCAGACGAGTGTTCCCGCACGTAGTTCGAAAATCGATGCGAGGACACTGCAGCTGGGGGCGGGGGGGACCTATGCTCGCGAGGGGTGCAGGGATTTTACCTCGCGCTGGTCGAAAAGCGACGCGGCGCGACGCATCGAAGTCTCTGAAGGACGAGAGAGAGAGAGTTGAACGGCTCGACCGGCCGCGCGCGGTGTGCCTAGTCGGAATTCCGAAATTCCGGACGCGCCGAACTGTTATCTAACTCTCTCTCGCGGCTGGACGAGGCCCGACGATGTCGGTGCCGGTGTCGGCGTCGGAGCGTTCCTCCGGTGCCGTTTTTCGCATTAGTCACCGCGACGAAAGGCGAAAGGCGGCTCTCGCGCAGCGCTGTGTGTCCGGTCGTAGGCGAGAGCAACGGCAGGTATACGTATTTTGTTTCGCTCCAACGACCACCGTAGTTGTCCAAACAACCGACGATTTCCAGGTAGAACGCGCTGTGCAATCGCCGGAGATTACGGGACAGGGGGCGGTCGTCCGGATAATCTCGCGACTCTAATTGCTTTGGAAAAAAAGAGATACGGGAGAAGAAGAATAAGAGGAGGAGGAAGGAAAATAAAAATAAGGTGAGAGAGAGAGAGAGAGAGAGGGGGAGAGAAAGAGAAAGGAGCGCGTTGACAGCGGTAAATTCGCGATTCCTCGAGCGTCGTTCGAGTTTCTCGAATCGATTTCCTGCCGCTCGTTAAATTCGGTCGAAACGCGTTACGGTAGGTCGTTAACCGACGCTGGGACTCGTATCCGAATGCTAACCGGCGTGTTTTGTTCGGTATACACACGCTCGGGACAAGCTGGATCGAGAGAAACGTCGTGGCACGTGGAATCCCGTGGATCAGCAGGTAATCGGGAATCGTGGAATCGCGGGGAGTGGTGGGTTACACCGTGTGGCGTAGTCGAAAAAGAGCTGACCCTGAAAACGCGTAGATTCCGTTCCGGAGCGGCACGTTGTCGGTCGCGATCGGAGGAGGTAGGGAGCCCTTCGTGACAGGACCCCGCCCTGTACAGCGGAACCCCCATACCCCGAGTTTCTTGGCGAGCTCGAGCAGGGCTGCCACCATCCGAACCGAGTCCCGGGGTGCCGGGCTGAGCCGGTACGCTCCTGCCTCCCGTCTATCCCGGAGCTCATTCTTTCTCTGACCGTGGAGCAGTGCGGATCGCGGTTACACGGAGCGGCGCTCGGTTGTTGGAGAGTGAACGGGATATACGCGAACGCGAGTATAGGGGAAAGGCGAAGGGAAGAACGGGCTGGGCACGCGCGTTCGCGCGAAGCAACGATCGTCATTGTGTCGCCGTGATCGTTGTGGTCCTTTGTTGGAGAAGAAGCATTCGCGGAGAAGATCGGTGTCGTTGGTTGGCCGATTTTTACCAGTTTGTGCGTGTTAGCCGGGCCCTCCCCACGCTCGACTTCCTCGGGACAAAGAGAGAGGAGGTACGCGAACGCAGCCGAAACTCCGTTCGGCGGGAACAAAGGAACGGCCGTGCCGCGCCGCGCCGCGCCGAGCCGAGAGATCGGAGCGAAGAGAGAGGAAACGCGAAACGATCGATCGTTGGCTCCGCGTAGTCCGGGGACTCGCGATAATCGTCCTGTGCCTGCCGATTGGTCGTCACGCTTCTCTCGTCACCGGGGGTGAGTCTTCGCGTCTCGCGATTCAATCCGCTCCGTCGCGTACGTCGCGACGACGACTCGCCGGCAATCTCGTCGGGAAGGTGAAAACGACGACGGTGTACGTCGCCCTCTACGCTCTCTGTATACGTACGTGCGTATGTGTGATTTTCCAAGTTTTCAAGTGTGCGTGCGTGGGTCTCGTACGCGCGCGAGGGTACGAGAAGAAAAATCGGGAGAGATTTTCGAGGCAGAGGAGCATAAGTGTAGGGAGAAAGAGAGAGAAAGAGGTAGACGGGAGTGAGAGAGAGAAAGTGGCAGGAGCAGGGAGAAGGAACGGACAGGATAGCGGAAAAGGGGGGACGGGAGCGAGAGAGTGTATGCGTGTGTGCGTGTGTGCGAGCGAGAAAGGGAGCGAGCGAGCGAGCGAGGGCTAGAGGAAAAGGAAAGGGTGGGAGAGAGAAGGAAAGGAAGGAAGGAAGAAAGAAAGAAGGAAAGAGAGTGAACGCGCTCGCGCGCGCGCGTGAATAAGAGAGTGAGAGAGGGAGGGAAAGCGAAAGAGAGAAAAGGAAAAAGCGAGCGGCTAGCGAGCGAGAGCGAACGAGCGAGCGATACGTTGGTGACAGAAAGACGGTCGGACGGACGGACAGACGGACCGACAGACGGACGCCGCTTCCCCTCCGCTTCTCTCGCCAGTCGGTCGCGCGTTACCGAGCCAAGTGGATGAGTTCGCGAACGCGCTCCCGCTAAAAGCCTCTGCTCGCTGTCTGTGCCTGACTGTTGTTGTAGGCGACTTCGGTGTTCCGTTTCCTCTTGCCTCTATCGTTCGTCGTCATCGTCGTTCGTCGTCGTGGTCGCCGCTGTCGCTTCACCTCTCGTACTCTCGTATCTGTCTAGACGCCACGCATCGTGCTACACGCCCGCCACCGTCACTACTGCCGCCACCACCGCGCCTCCTCCTCTCGGAATAATATATCCAGTGTGTTTCTTGTGCGGAGCAGCGACGAGGGACGCTCCTCCACCGGAAAAATTTCGCCTCGTCGCGCCACTTACGACGCCCTCGACTACCGAGGTGAGTAGCACCAGTACCAGTACCAAAGCACACCCCGCGATCCTTTTTCTCCGCTCCATTCCGCTCCAGTCCGCCCGTTATTTTCGCCGGGTCGCGCGCGCTCCCTGTGAACGGTGCACACCTCGTCGCCGCGTGTCGCGCGCTACGTGCCGCCGGTATTCGATTCGACGCGCCGCCACCCTCTCCTGCTTTTCCGTTCGTCGACCCGATACTACACCCCACGCGTATCCTTCGGACCACGTCCTTCTCTCCTACCCTCCGCCGCTTTCCACGAAAACCCAGAGTCACGCGCTCCACGCGTAGTAGCATCGCGCGTCGAGCGGGATTTCGAGTGTGTACCCCCGCGCCATTTTGAAAATGGGCAGCATCAATCGATATAGCGAGAGCACCGTGCGGAGCCGGCTCTCGATTCCAGTCTCGCTCTCCAACGGTTCTTCGCCTTTCGTTTCTCGCACGAATTCGTCGAAACGGATAGTTTGAAAATCGCCAAGTCGCCTATCGTATCGTATCGTATCGTATCGTATCCGGTCGTGGCGTGTGGAGGAGAGACACCGAGCGTTACACGTAGCCGTGATCGGTCGGAAAAGCCACGCACGGTCGCGTTCGCGATCGAAGAATCGTTGGGAGCAGCGGCCGGTTACGCCATCTTGATTCCTTCCCCCACCACTCGCCCGGTATTAACCCCCGAACGATCGACCATACGCACGATTTCGAGAGACTACTACCGGTGTGACCTTTCCCTCTGGGCACGATCCATCGGAATCTCGCCGATCGGCCTGGCCTCGCGCGTGCTATTCGCGTGTTCCGTCCAGCTTTTCCATCGTTTCTCCTCGATCGTTCGCGTAATCACGGGACCATCGGATCGGGAAACTCGGGACTACGACTGATCGTGGCGCAGCGAGAAAACTCGCGGAAGACTTTGCCCGCTCTCGCGGATTTAGCGTTCGCTGTTACCATGGCAAAAGAGGAGGAGAGGGATAGAAAGGAGATACGTTCTTGCCAAGCCGGGTGCCTTAAACAGAGGCGACGTGTCTGCCTGCCTACCTACAGTGTTTCTCCCCCTTCTCTCTCTCCTTTGTGCCGATTTTGCATAGCAGGCCTCTACCTGCCGTGCATTTAAAACGCAGTCAAGGCTTCCACGGAAGCGATTGTTGTCGCTCGGGGAATGGCAGCCGGTGGAGAAAGGCCGAGAAAACGCTGGTCGGACTAGCAGGCCAGTCCGTCCATGCATCTTGGCCTGTTCTTTTCCTTCGGGGCTCCTTCCACCTCTCGTCCGAGATCCACGATCTCTCTCTCTCTCTCTCTCTCTCTCTCTCCTTCGTCTCTTCTTCTTCTTCTCTTCTGCTTCTTCTTTTACTTGTTCTTTTTATTCTTGCCGTTCTTCGTGGTCGGAAGGTAGCCTCGTTGGATTTCTTTGGGCCTGCCGGTTGCCGAATTCGAGCGATTTCGCAGCGAAGCCCGGCCACGGCGTCCATCGGCGGTCGCGATTTACGCTACCGCGCTCCTTCCTGGCCCCCGTTGCCTTTTTCCCTCCTTGCGCCGCGATCGACGGCAACCAGTTTCAGCAGTGGCAAGTCCACGCCATCCACGCGATAACGGGTCGTTAACTTGCCCACATCTGCCTTTCTCTCGTTTACGAGAACGAAGAAAAGAGCTGTTCCGACTGCTTAGGCAGACGTGCACGCCACGTCGAGTGCCTTTGAAACGCCTCGCGGCTCGACCGGTTTTTCGCCAGAAAACTGTCCTCTTCCCTTCCCTCCTTCCTCCTTTTTCTCTCTTATCCCCACTTCACCTCCTTTTTTCTCGTCTCTTTCTTGCGAACATCGATCGCTGGTCAAACGTCCAAACGAATAGGTTTCGACCATTCTCCCTCCCCCTATATATCTCTCTCTCTCTTTCTCTTTCTCTCTTCTTTCTCTTGTTTCGAATAATTCTCTACGTAAAACTTTTCCATTCATTCTCTCTCTCTCTCTCTCTCTCTCTCTCTCTCTCTCTCTCTCTCTCTCTCTCTCTCTCTCTCTCTTCGTGTTTACCAACGCCTTTGAATTCGGCTCGCAGGGACTTTCACCCTTGGCGGGCAAGGTCCGCGCCGCGCGGTGTTTACACGCGCGAAGGGTGCACACGCGCGCGACGCACCGAAAATAGATCCACGTACTACTCCGGATATGCGCGTATTTTTAAGCCCACGCTCCACCCGGGCGTACCCCGTTGCTGGCCTCCGCGCCTCACCTTTCGCACCCTGCCGCGCGTCGCAGGGTGAAAGAGAAAGACAGCTTTCCTCGTTGGCCCTTTGCGTCGAAACCGCGACGATTTTCATCCTTCCCGTACGTACGTACGTACGCACGCACGCACGCACGCACGTGCGCCGCGCCGGATTCGTTCACGCATGCGGGACACGCGCCTGAATACGGGCCGGCTACGTAGTCCTCGTCATCCCCGTCGGCGTCGGCGTTGTCGTCGCCAGGTCGCCCCGTGATCGTGATTCTCGATTTCGAGAACAGCGGCAGATGTCCTTTTCTCGACCGTCCATTATTCGCCTAACATCCCCGCCTGCGCTGCGAGTGCTATGTCAGGGAGCGTTAGTCCTGCGAAAATAACGCGCGATTGATTGAGCGTTACTCCCGCCCCGTTACTTCGTGGGAACCGAGGCTGCAGTCTGCTCTCGCACGCACAGCTCGACCGGGAAAAACAATTTTCTTTTTTTCCTCTTCCGCTTTTCACTCCCTCTTTTTTCCATCTATTTAAGCCCATGTTTTCTCCGGCCCTGGTTCCCCGCTGATTATTCCACGACCCGACCCCGCGTTACTCACCGATCCCGAGGATCCGCGAGATCGTCGGTCCCGAACAAAGTCCTCGGGTACCGGTGGTGGTATCTCGACACCGCGCGAAGTTCGTTTGAACAGCGATTAACCGAGCACCTGAGTCAGCGCGAGTAAACACGCGCGTCGAACGCGTTATCGTTATCGTTTCCATGGAATTCGGCGTTCCGCGCGATCGCGCGTGCCTCGGCGACGATGTCGCGGACATTTTCTCATTAGCGCGGTTGTCGAGCGTGCATGCCGTTGGAATTTAGTTTCCCATAGGCCGCGTGTCGGCGTGACACGCTCGTCGAGGCCGTAATAGTCTTCGACGGCAGTGACCTCTGAATGCGCTTATTAATCTATTGAGCGAATCTGCAGAAAGAAATCTCGCCGAGCGTTTTATTCGCTCGCTCGAACCACGGATAATTACTCGTCCCCGTCCTCTTTCTCCGACCGACCACCTCGAGACGCCGCGATCGGGATGGAAAAGTGACGGGGCTGGAATCTCGCGGTTTCCTGGAGAAAAATGCGCGGAAGAAAACGCGTCCCGTGAGTCAGAGGAATGACACGATTCCCTTGGCTGTTTGCCCCGTTCGCGGAAAAACGATTCTTACCGGAGCGAGTCGTTGAACCGGTATTCGAAGCGTGAATCGATGGAATAAGCGGGCTCGATGGCGACCGACTTCCTTTCGCGCTCCATTATCTGACACGACGCGCTCTTTCGCTGGCGGTCGTGGCGAAAATTCGCTGGGAGGGACGAGGAAAAACAGAAATTCGCTGGGAAAGACGAGGGAAAACCAAAATTCACTGGAAGGGACGATGGAAAACCTGAATTCGCTTGGAGAGACGATGAGAAACCGGAATTAGCTGAGAAAAAAGAGGGAAAACCAAAATTCGCTGGGAGGGAGAAAGGAAAACCGAAATTTACTGGGACAGACAAGGGAGAACCGAAATTCGCTAGGAGAGATGAGGAAAATCCCAAAATTCGCTGGGAGAGACAGAGGAGAAACCAAAATTCGCTGGGAGGGACAAGGAAAAATCGAAATTTGCTGGGAGATACGAGGGAAAACCGGAATTCGCTGGGAGAGACTATGAAAAACAGAAATTCGCTGGGAGAGGCGAGGGACAATTAAAATTCGCTGGGAAAGACAGAGGAGAAACCAAAATTCGCTGGGAGGGACAAGGGAAAATCGAAATTTGCTGGGAGATACGAGGGAAAAAACCGGAATTCGCTGGGAGAGACTATGAAAAACAGAAATTCGCTGGAAGAGGCGAGGGATAATTAAAATTCGCTGGGAAAGACAAAGGAAAATCGAAATTTGCTGGGAGATAGAGGGAAAACAGGAATGCGCTGGGAGAGACTATGGAAAACAGAAATTTGCTGGGCGAGACGAGGGAAAATTAAAATTCACTGGGAAGGACAAGGGGAAACCGAAATTTACTGCGAGAGAGGAGGGAAAACGGAAATTCGCTGGGAGAGAGGAGGGAAAACTGGGAACGGGTGGTGCCGGTCGTTATCCAACGGCGACGCGACTCGCGACCGACGAGATGGACTAAATATAGGGTGGCGAAGCAGAGAGATAAATCGTAGGTTAGAGTCTGGCGAGGAAAGGCTATTTTTCCCGCGGGATGATTGCACGCTTCCCACGGGCGGAAAGTCCGACACGTGTTTTCACCTCGCTACTCGCGCTCCACTTTCCCGGTCTAACTCGCCCATACCGAATCTATTTTTTACCATAGTCGTAGGCATCCCGAGTGCCCTCGCGGGTGCATGTGTTCGCTGCACTCGACAGGGACCTAGCTACGTAAATATTTGTCCAGCCTCTTCCTCCTGTCTAATATACGATCCAGACTAATTGCGCGCTTCCTGCTCCTCGTTTCCCTGTCCTTTCCCAGCCCTTTCCCTGCCTTTTTCCGTCCCCGGCATTTCGCCCTAGGAATCCTCGCAGTACTTCCCTGGCTGGTAAAACTTCGCGAAAGATTCGCGTTTTCGTGATAATTCTATCGAATTATCGCGACGTTTCCTCTGATCCAGCAAACTGTGCCCCAATCTATTTGGAAAATTCGGAAAATTCCAAAAAGACTAGCACCTGTTACGTTTCTCGCGTACGCGATACGGATCGATGGATCCCTTAACCTTCGCGATGGTGTCCGACAACCACCCGGTACACGAGAGACCGACAAACTGCGGACGCATTAGCGCAAGCGCGGTGCAAGCTAGAACGCGGCTGGAAAGTGCAATGCACCGCGAATGGACTGCCAGGGTCAAACGCTGTTATTCGACCCCGGCGATATACGCTACGCTACCTCCGTTTCGGGAAACGCGTGCAGAGTAGCCTCGGCCATCGGCTTCGCGATTGCTCCCGAGATTCACGCGGTCCGAAAGCAAACAGAGCCGACTCCTATTCGATCCACCTACTCTCATCTTATCGAAAATCCGAGCCGCGTTACTCGCGACCCGCGAACAGCGCTCTCGAGGAAATCCAGACTCGCCTCGCGGAACGCCTCGCGGCAGCTTCGAGTTAGCGATGCGAGAGATCGGTCGTCGAACACGCTGCTGCATCGTTGGCGAGTCTATCCGACAATCTAGATCTCGATTTTTCTCCCCAGTCGCTGCAGACGCAAAGAGTACACTGCCGGTCCTGGCCGCAGATGCGTTACGCATCGCGGCCGCGAGCTGGGCATCGGTGCGTAGCCACTCCACGTGCTCTTTAAACGCGTCTTACACGCGAATGCGCCTGCTCTCGTGTTCGACTTCGCCTCGCCGTGCCAGTTTTTCGCAGGCCTCGCTCGAACGCAACGGATCGCTTCCTCCTCCGCCGCGAGAGAAGCTCCGGATCGACCTCGGCACCGTTAACCGGCGTCCCGCTCTTTTAACCGCTCTCAGCCTATTTTCTCCGCGCGATAATCGCGTTCTTCTTTTTCCCCACGCGTCACTTTCGCGCCGATCTCGCTAATTCGCGCAAATCGCTCGGAGAATCGGACAGGAGCCGACGCGAACGTCTGAATCTTCCCCCGGCACCGGTCAGCCTCGACGTTTAATTCCCGAGGAATTCCTTTCTCGCGAAGCGTGTCGCGTCGCTGTATGCCCTTTCTCTTTTTCTCTTTGTCTCCCGTGCGCCGAGTTCATATATTATTCATTATCACCGGTATGCCTCGCGATTTCTTCCATCGGCCGTGTATGGCAGCGAAACAGCCTCGTACGAAGGTTTCGCTACCGAACTCGCTCTCCACCGCGAGCCATCTCCTCGAGCTGCGTGCACCTGCGCCGCGCCATGCCGCGAATCCAGAAGTCGCGCCGCGCTCCAGTCACGGCGAATCGCGTATCACGCTACCGGTCTACCCGCATACCGATACGACGCCGGTTTATCGAGATTATTCGCGTCGTATCGTCCGATTCGTTTCGATCCACCGATTAATTCCGTTGAGACAAACGCGTCGTGGATACCTCTCGATCGATTCGCGAAAATCGGTTGCCGCGGAAATCGGTAGTCGCTAAAATCGGATGTCGAGACAAACGCGTCGTGGATACCTCTCGATCGATTCGCGAAAATCGGTAGTCGCGGAAATCGGTAGTCGCTAAAATCGGATGTCGCTGAAATCGGTTGTCCTAGAAATCGGTCGTCGCGGAAATCGGTAATCGCGAAAATCGGTTGTCGCGGAAATTAGTAACCGCGAAAATCAGTTGTCGCGGAAATCGGTTGTCGCGGAAATCGGTTGTCGCGAAAATCGGTAATCGCGGAAATAGGTAATCGCGAAAATCAGTAGTCGCGAAAATGGGTTGTCGCGGAAATCGGTAGTCGTGGAAATTGCTAGTCACGAAAATCGGTAATTGCACGTGTAAAACTTCGAATTTGTTAGCGGAGATTCGCGAGATGCCTTCTCCGTGTTTTCTCGCGAATCTTTCCGGTCACGTGGTGTACGCGTCGACCTGTTGTCGAATCGATAAGCGAGGAACGGGGAGGGCTGATAAACGGCGTGTTCCCCGCAGCCAGTGGCGTCCTTTGTCCAGACTGTTGCGCCAGAGATTCGCTCACTTTCGCCGCTTGATTGCAGGTCAGTTTTATACGACGCGCGACACCTGATCACAGCATCCGGGAAGCGCGAACGAGAGACAGGTGAGCCAGAAGGGGATAGAGAGGCAAAAAGAGGAAAGATGGGAGCGAGACAGAGCAGAAGGTCCGTGGATATAACGACGACTCCGAAGAAGGAGGGGTTGCCCGCCGAAGGAGGTGTCGGGGATGCCGCCGCACCTGGCGATGGCAAGCTGGAAAGGATCGAGGAGACCGACACGAAGCCCACCACCAATGGAATAGCGCCGCACACGGACGTGGCCGAGGATAAAGACAAGGATAAGGACGACGCGACGGAAAAGGAGAAGGATAAGGAGAAGGTGAGTGAGAGACCCATTAGGAATCTCGACGTTTCGCTTTTTATTTCTCCAATGGGAAATCGTAACGAGCGTACGCGATAGTGTAGGGATCGGATCGGCGATAGAGTCGTTCCTGCCTCTCGTTTAACTCCGCGTCTATCGTCCGGACGAATAACTCGCACCGGATATGGAGCTTCTTCGGCTCGCGACAACCTTTTTGCTCCTCGTAAATGCCTTTTTGTCCGAACAAATAGTTGCAAACGTTATAATCGCGAGGAGTTCGAGAGGTCGATAACGAGAATGCGCTCCAGATCGGCTTATGCCGCTCGATGGGACAGGTGGAACGCGCGGTTTTCGATCTCCTCGCGCGCGCGCGCGCTGCGATTCGAAGACGGTAAAGACTGTGCAACCGGAGGACTGTTATTATTATTATCATAACGACGGTATATATAACCAAGGATCGTTTGAAATTACTATCTTTCGCTATCAATTAACGTTTACGTGTGTTTATTTATACTTTCGTACTTGTGTACACTCGTACGTGAAAGTATTCAACGTTTACACGTGCTGCTTTTAAAAAGCGATACACACGCGTTACACCGAGACGTTTGAAACGATAATCACGCGTATATCAAGAAGGAACTCTGGGAATTATACGAGCAAAATTAGAAAAGTATTCAACAACTGTACGTGTAATACTCGAGATACAGTTATCATAAATATGGAGTGTCGGTGAATCGGAGAAGTATTGCACAAGCAACGCGTAATGTTAACAAAAAGTACCACGAGTAATTAAGAAACAGAGTAATTTTCGGTAATTGCGCGCGACAGCCTTAAGACGACCTTTTCGTTCAACTCACTAGCGCCACCGCGGTCCATATCTCCGATGAATTGTAACGTCACATCGCATACGTTGTTGAATTATTTTCCAATTTTACGAATACGATATTTCCTTCTTACTACGTGTACCACATCGTTTTAAATATTTCTCTTTAATCTAATTTCTTTTAAGTATTTCTCTTTAATTTCTCTATCGAATGTAAACCATCGAATACTTTCGCGTACGACTGTACGTATGTACCTACATACGTATGAAAAACTTTAAGAAGCCTCGTATTAGACGCGGTACACGTAATACTCCTTCGCTCTACTATTCTTTCCGCTACGAGTTTCCGCGAACTCGTCCAGACTTATCGTCCGAGGAAACGCGTTAATGAATCAGCGATGAATCGCTCGGCGCGTAATCGCGAGTACACTCGCCCCGAGTTTTTTCCGCGGAACACGATCTGCGACTCGATTATTAAATTCAATTGATTCACCGACAATGACGCGACTGTCGTTACTCAGCGTGCAGACGGATCGCGATGTCGATTGACGGAGAACAACACTAAATGCACATGCGTCGGGACGCTCGATACGCTCTAGGTATACGACTCGCGAAGAGAACCTGATGATCTGGAAGTCTCGTACTCTTCACGGTCGATTCGACGTTACTTTGACATCAGTTAGACGTTATTTCGACGTTATTTGGAAATTCGAGATGGCGAACACCAAACGCACGTGCATCGGGACGCTCGGTACGCTCAGGATTCGACACGCGAAGAGAACCGGATGATCCGGAAGTCTTGTGCTCTTCACGGCTAATTCGTCGTCACTTAGACGCTATTTCGACGTTACTTCGAAATTCGGAGCGGCAAATACTAAAAGGCACGTGCGTTGGGATGCTCGGTACACTCTAGGCACACGACTCGCGAAGAAAACCGGATGATCCGGAAATCTCGTGCTCTTCATGACTAATTTCACGTCACTTAGACGCTATTTCCACGTTATTTCGACGTTACTTCGAAATTCAGGGCGGCGAATACTAAACGCACGTGCGTCGCACGATATACTTTAGGCATACGACTGGCGATGAGAACCGGATGATCCAGAAGTCTCGTGCTCTTCACGGTCGTTTCGACGTTACTTTGACATTAGTTAAACGTTATTTCGAAGTTACTTGGAAATTCGAAGCGACGAATGCCAAACGCACGTGCATCGGGATGCTCGATACGCTCGACATACAACTCGCGAAGAGAACCGGATGATCCGAAAGTCTCCTACTCTTCACTGCCAATCCGACGTTATTTAAACGTTATCTGGAAATTCGAATCGTCAAAGCCGCGAGTCGGAGTCTGCCAAGTGGCAGAGGCTGGCGCCATGGAAAGTTCGAACTGTCGCTCTCGCCGAATCGCATAAGCGTGTGAGTGTATCGCGAAATGCTGCCAGCTAGACGAAACTTGATATTTCCTCGATTGAGCAACCCCGGCAGCTGTCATGCACTAGATACGGCACTGCGCGCGAAAGAGAGAGATCGCGCCTCTTCCTTTCATTTCCGTTTAACGCCCAGGTCCTTTCCTATTTCCCGCTCTGCTCGATCGGCCACGGCTCGAGCGGATCCACGGAAAAGGGCTTATCGGCGTGGATTTTTCACAGGCCGATTATCTCGGCCGCAATAATCCCCGCCGACTCGCGCCTATCGATCCCGCTGCGTTTCTAGTCCGAGTGTATAAAGCTCGGTCGAGAAAGGCGTGCATTTAATTTCCTGGAAAAGTGTATTTTTACACGCAGGCTACGCCCATTGTGCCACTTAACGAAATCAGGATAGCGATCTTTCCAGAGGCGCGCAACGGTTCGCCTAGATCCACTGGAAACGGAGTAAACCGGACCGTTCGTTTATTCCGCGCGAGAACGAAAGTGTTCTCTCTCGGGCAAGCGGAATATACGACCATCTCGCCACGAAATCTCCCCGATATCGCCCGCTCTTGCCGCACGTAACACCTCTCCTCTCCGCTTCTTTCCTCTCTGCTCCGCTCCGGTATATCGGTATCGATTTCTCGATCTCGCTTTCACGCACGAGTCCAAGGAAACCGCGTTAATTCCCCGTAAACGTGTTATCGGGCCCGCAACGATTCGCCACCGGCTGTATCGCGGCTGTGTATCGCGATCGCGGCGCGGACACGCGGGGAGTCGGCGACGCGTGGACGCGCGACGCTCGGCTTACCGCCATTACGCAGTCGGTCGGGATAGATTCGCGGAAACGCAGTCGGCTGAATTTTCGCCCCCGTGGAAAAAATACCGAAATACCGTTTCGCCGAGGCCGAGTGGTCTCCATCGCACACAGGTGCACGCACGCGTGTGTGTACCGGTAACGCGTTCTCGCGAGTAACTGTAACCGCGTCTCTCCGCGTAAACGCTCTTACCGGTGCATACCTAACTGTCCTAGACGAATAAATCTTTCGTCCTGTCTATCTCATTCTCTCTCCTTCTCTCTGTCTTTCTTTATGCCAGTGGGTTTGTTAGTCGTTTGTGGGTTTCTTCGTGGCTGGCGCCGAAATGGACACCGGGCAGCAGCATCTCTGCGATCTTGCGAAATCTGTCAGGGCAGGTGCGCTCGTTCCTCGTATCGAACACCTGCTCTTGATAGTTCTCGGCGACCACGGCTCGAGCTTGCTTTTATTTTTCCTGCGCCAGGATCTACGACTCACCCGGGCCCAACGTTTCGCGAATAATTTAAGATATATCTGCCGCCTGCGAGACCCGCTCTAATGGAAAGACCTTACTTTCGCAGCCTTGACCATGTAATTTAACCACGCGATACGCGCGTCCCAGGACCCACTGCTGGTCCTCTCCTTTGCTACCACCTATTCTATTGAAATTTTCACCCATTCGTAAGGTAAACGGGGGTGTTATAAGAGGTCTAAACGTAAAGTTCGCCGAACTAAGGTATATTCAATAGAATTCGAAGGATTTTTGAAATTTTTATCCAATTTATCGTGCACGGAATAAAGCAAATACTCCGTCGAGGTATCATTTTCCTCCGCTGTCTTTGAAATATTGTCGAAACGAACCATTAAGAGCTTATGCTTCGAAATGAACTGGGCTTGTTTGTACAGTTTTGGACCACCTGTCTTGCATTTTTCGTTTAAAAAGATTGGAAAATGGCGGAGTTACGAGCAATTTTATCGAAGGTCTTCTTAAAAATCCGTTATCCATGGTGTCCATGATTCAGGCATTTTCTATTATCCAAAATAAAAAAACTCAACGGCATTCTTGTTAAATACGAGTACAGCTGTGATTGGTACTAAAAAAAAATAAAAAATATCGGTAAATAAAAAAATGGCGGCACTTGTGATTGTATCTACCGATTTCTTCACTCTCTTTTCGAGTATACGAGTATGAAAAAAATAGAAAGAATGCGAATTTTTAAATAATTTTTAGTAGGAATCATAGCCACTAGTGTGTCGAATATTTGTGCAAAATTTCGTGCTAATCTGTCGAACGCTGTTTGAAAAATCATGGGCAGTTTGTGAAACACGCGTTTAATTTTTTACGTTTCTATACGAACGAAGGGAAATAACTATAATTCCGCTATTTGTAAGAGTTCGAGACTGATATTTACGGAAAGTAATGTTGAAAACCTGTACTTTGAGAAGAAGAAGAAAAAAGAATCGATTTCCTCGATCCTACATAGTAGAGGACCCCCTTAGACGATAGCGCGAGGGGATGATTTACGTGCGAATTATGTACCCCTAGGGTGCGAAATATGCACCTTAGGTGAAAATTTCAAGAGTCTAACAACGTTGTCGCTCTTTACAAATTTACGTGCGAATTATGTACCCCAGGTATCTTAGGGTGCGAAATATGCACCTTAGGTGAAAATTTCAAGAGTCTAACAACGTTGTCGCTCTTTACCGCTCTCTTTTCGGCAAAAAGGAGAGAGTTTTGTTCTCCGAATGCCGAAAAAACGCCGGTTATGGCTGTCTACTCGGACGCTAGGTCTCGCGGTTGTATTTTAGGTATTTATCTAAACCCCGAGAGACTGTGCTCGGTTTTTCCGCCATTCCGGATAGGCAGTTTCGTTTTATATTCTCTGCCGTTTTTGTCGCCAACCAGGGAATTCGAGAGAATTCGAGAGAATTCCAGAGAGAGACGATCTTCTCGCGATCGCTGTCTCGGAGTGTATCGCAGAAGCGGGTTGC